CAATGCTCTGACTACTAAGCTACGAGAGATGACATTGGTGAGTAAAGCCAAAGGTGTCGAGTTCGATTCCCGGCGAGGTATTGACAACAACAACAACTTTTTCCTCATTAACTTGAGGTAATTTGTAGTTGATTCAAATGGAACATGAATTTCAACATTTAATATTTGATTCTTATTTTTATTAATTTAAAACGGAATAATGGGCCAAAACGTCAGTTTTACCTATATTTTACATACTATTTTTAGGGGATTTACCAATCACCTAAAATTATAAGTAAAAGTCTACGTAACATGATTAAAATACAACTACTAAAAAAGTAAATTAACTTCTGGAATAATTTTATTTCTAACTTAGGGTTTAATAAAATGCAATGTAAAAGCACATAATAAGTTGATACGAAAGATTATTAATTTAGATGTGATGGCATACCTGATTGCGAGGGCGAGGAGGATGAATTACAGTGTGAAGAAGAAGAGAAAAAGTGCGAAGATTTAAAGAATCACGTAAAATGCCCGCAATCTGGAAAATGCATCTCAAAAGATTGGCTTTGTGACGGTGATGATGACTGTGGTGATTTTTCTGATGAAACACACTGTGGTAAGCATCGCACTGTATTTGGCAGTATTGATGAATATTACAAAATTTCTCAAAAAACTGGAACGGCAACGTTTTTGAATTTTTATTTGTTTGAAATAATTTCATAAGAAATAAATGAATTAAATTCTGAGGCGATTTAAATTTTAATAATTTATTTGTAACTTTTAATATGTTGGATTGGTTTTTGGCTTTTAGGAGGGGTAGTTAACTGCACCGACGACCAATTCGAATGCACTAATGGCCTATGTATACCCTTTACTTGGGTTTGTGATAACGACAATGACTGTAAAGACTTTTCCGACGAAATTGGCTGTAACAAAACTGAGTAAGATTTTCTTTTGTTCTACAAAATATATATTTAAATAAATTAAAAGAGACTCACTCTAATTTATCAGTCAATACTGGGGCAACAAATATTTCGCCCACTTTATAATCAGGATATCGCGTTGATAATGTCCACATTAGAAATGGGCGAAAAACTGCAGTCCGCAGTTTACAATGTTAGTGGTAATTAAGACGAGCCTCTGTTAGTTTATTTATTCCTTTATCACGTGTCAATTTTCTACTTTAAATAAATTTTTATTTATCTACCATCGACTTTACTGAAAAGGCAAAAAAAAATGCATTTGATGTTTTTAATTCCGGGTTGTTGTCCTTTTTTTAATAATTTGTTTCCTATTTGCATTCAACAAACAATATCATTTTTTATACCCTAAACTTCTTTGTAATATTTGGGGATTAAGTATATGACATCACCCCAATTAGGCACCATTAACGTTGTTCACAGCTAGGGTTGCCACCTTTTCAGGATTTACATAAAGTATTTCTCAACTAAAAGGTTAAAAAAAGTACTCGGCATAAAAATAAAGTACTTAATTTTTTGTTTTTAAAAACATATTTTTTGTTACACATAGCAGCCAGTAACAAATTGCTGTCCCTGTTAAATACATTAGTAGCCTCTAAAGATGGCAAACAAAGATTTAAGTAAACTAAAAGTTCATTTTTAATTAGTTTTAATGAAGCTTTATTCCTGTCGTCCCGCCACTTTGCGTTCATAACAGAGAATACTCTTTCTGTAAATGCTGAAGTGGCCGGAACGGACAGCAAAAGTGTGACACTACTTTGAACAGATTTGGGGAATCAGGTTGTTCTGTAAACATGGCTTGCAATTTTTCTGTGCAATATTATTGATGTAAAAGTACTCTGAATTTCGAATAATCGCTTACAAAATTACGCTGTTTACTTAAGGCCTTAAATAAAATATTTTTGCGTACTTTATGTGTCTTGTAAAGTATAACGTACGCACAGTCGAAATAGAGTACAATACTTTATAATAAAGTACGGGTGGCAACCCTATTCACAGCGGACACGTGTTTCGCCCACAATCTATGTGAGCGAAACACAGGTCTGCTATAAACAATGTTAGTGGTAATTAAGATGATAGGGTGAGTCTCTTATTTTAGTTTACATAATTATATTGGCGATTTGTATTGCGTATTATGTGTTCTATTAAATAATTTGGGGCCCAAAGAAAAATGTAGCGTTTGATGTTTTTTGATGGTGTCGAAAAGGCTAAGATTTCATTAGGTGGAATGAGAACGAGTTTGTAGTAGACCGAACGTGTCAACAAAAGTGTCTTGTATTTTTCGTTAAAAATTCAATTTCTTTTGATTCTGCGAAATAACGTCAAGCACCTAATAACGTTAAAAAATTCGTTTAAAACAGTTGCAAATCACTTCAGGGGAATAAATTAAAGGAGTGGGTGTAGCAACAGAGTGACTTTCATCTCGAGTGCTTGTAATTTTCTCGAGGTCTATAGATTTATTTGTCGTCCTCCCACATGCAGGGGCGACTTCTGAGAGAAAGAGAGAGAGAGAGAAAGAGACCACGTAAAATTCAATTTCTCATAAAACTTTTTGATTCCTTCTAAATTATATTTTAAAATGTAACTTCGTCAAATATTCTTTCAAAAAGTGCGTGACTAGAACTAAAACCACTATCAATGAAAGAAATATGTATTTGAAAAGGATAACAAAAAAGCCCTCAATCAAAGGGTGAAACGTGGGAGTTTTTATCTAAATAAAGTGGTTCTTTCATCTGAAAGAGTTTATATATTGTTAGTATAAATGTAATCAGAGAGATAATGGAAATTAATAAGAAAAAAATTTTTATTTTGTGAAGAACAGTTGATATTTGAAGATCTGTAGCATTTGCAGAGTTTTATGGTCAATTACGAAACTGGCTATCTGTATGAATGTCACAGTCTTCCATACTCTTATTTAAATCTAATATGTGGGTAAACATTACAACTGAAACTCAAAACTATATGTTCGCGAAAATAATTTTTAGACGATGTATGGAATGTTTTTTCATTTCCTATTGGGTACTTACGTCATTTAGTTAGGTGTATTTACAAGGTCTTCTAAAATGCAACAGAAAATATTTTGGGGTCTTTTGATTTTTACGCATTAATTATAAGGTATTTTTCTAAACTATACTAATGTAAAATATCTGAAAAAATCCTAAAGGAAGCCTTTCATAGAAAATTACAACAAACAAGGACGAAAAATAGATATGTAATCATCTTTTCTATATGTCTTGCCTAGTACTTCAAAACAATAATCTGAAAGGTCGGAAAAGCATTGCTGGAGGTGTTTCTACGAATACTTTTAATCCAAACTACTTTCAGTATAGGTACTGCACTAATCTTTTTGAGTAGGTAACAAGTCAAACTCAGTAAACAGCAATTGAACTGACACGATACTAGGGTGCTTTTTGTTTTCATAAACGATATTTAGCATTGGTGAAATTAAATAGAAATTGTTTTGATTCCAGATGTACCCAAGATGAATTTAGTTGCGCCGACGGTAGTTGCATCTCGAAAAGTTGGAGGTGTGACAACGAAAGAGACTGTCCAGATGGATCTGACGAAGATGCAAGTTGTGGTACTATAAAACAAATTTTAGGTTTACGAATGCATGCTTAATACTTAACGCTTTTAAACTTCTAGCTTCTGAAGAACTGGTGTGTAATCCGGAAAGTGAGTTCCAATGCTCTTTTCAAAAGTGTATCAAACATGCATTTAGATGTGATGGAGACAACGATTGTGGTGACTGGAGCGATGAAGAAGATTGCCAGAGTGCTACCGGAAATTGCGTGGCAGGAGAATTTAAGTAAATATTTTTTGTGTTTTTTCCGTTTTTCTTTTTGTTTTTTAAAAAGGAGGAGGGTCTAATGGTTAACCATAAACCCCTTATGGACCTCCTTTTTTGTCCAGGAATAGAAATATGTATAAACTACTATCTTTTGCAGATGTAAAAGTGGTAAATGTATCCCTGAAAGATTTAGATGTGACAAACAGAAGGACTGCGAAGATGATGACGATGAAGCTAATTGTAACTATGATCATAACGTTACTTGTTCCCCTGAGGAATTTACTTGCTCAAATGGTGCATGCATACTGGTACGAAACTACCATAGAAATTCTAATCTAACTAATCATGTTATGCAAATAATTTCAATAACGTACTTATCGGTTAGCTTTTATCCTCTTGCGGATGTTGAATAACGTTAGAAGAGTAATTATTCGCTACGAAAACTGCTGAACGTCAACTTTGCCCTTTCTAAAGTAGAAATTAATGGCTTTTCAATTAAAGCGCTTTTTACTAATTCCAAAGCAGTATCAGTAGACCACAAGATAAATTATAAAAGTGTTTTATTATTTACAGAAAAAATGGATTTGTGACGGAGTTCCTGATTGCAATAACGGAGAGGATGAAGTGAAATGCAATATTGTTTGCGAAAAATCTAAATTTGCTTGTATGGGTGCGATCGGTAATGAGACGTTTACCGATTTTTGTATCGGAAAAAAACACGTGTGCGATGGCCAGAAAAACTGTCCGAGAGGTGAAGATGAAAAAAACTGCCCAACTAAAAGACAATGCAATGTCAACGATACCTGTGCTCAAGAATGTATCACCTCAGCCAATGGCAAAAGTGGTTGTGCATGCAGGCAAGGCTTCGAATTAGGAACTGACGGAGTCAGGTAAAATTAGCAAGAACCTTTCGCTTTAGAGAATTTGAAGAAATATTCTTAAAATGAGGTTTTAATTATATCCGGAAGCTCTATTACTTTTATGACATTTCAAAATTTTTTTTCTTATTCTTCAATTATCTTATTATGATTCTAGTTGTGAAGATATTGATGAATGTGCATACGAAACAGAACCTGTCTGTTCGCAAAAGTGTACAAATAGCGTCGGAAGCTTTAATTGCGACTGTATGACCGGATACATACTAAGACCGGATTTGAGAACGTGCAAGGCCCTTGGAGGGTCCCCGACTTTAATTTTTGCCAATAGAGTTGATATTCGACAGGTAAAAAATAAAAATCCGATACGTCATTTTCAATGTTCTATTCTTAAAATCGACTGCAGGTCTCTCTTCAAAAATCGTCTTCAAAATACACAGCTATTTTGAAAGGACTCCATAATGCAATAGCATTGGATTACCATTATGAAAAGGGACTTATATTTTGGTCGGATCTTTCACTTGATGTAATCCGTAAAACTTACACGAACGGAACCGGAATAGAAGGTAATCAACGGTATCGACAACAATAACAGATTTTGTGAAATATTAGTTTTAGATGTGATTAGGTGGGGTCTAGAATCCCCAAGCGGAATAGCCGTTGATTGGATACATAATTTAATCTTTTGGACCGATTCTGGTACCAGAAGAATTGAAGTTGCTACCTTGGACGGGATGCAAAGAGCAATTCTCGTTGCGAGTGATTTGGATAAGCCAAGAGCGATAGCAGTTCATCCTGGAGAAGCTTATGTCTTTTGGACCGATTGGGGTCCTTTTCCCAAAATAGAAAGACTGGAAATGGATGGCACTAATCGAATCAGTATTATTACAGAATCAATATTTTGGCCTAACGGTCTTACTATTGATTACACGTCTAGTAGAATTTATTGGGCAGACGCCAAACACAGTGCAATTGAATCATCACTTTTCAATGGTAGAGATAGGAAGAAGGTAGTAAGTCGAGGACTTCCTCATCCATTTGCGCTAACCCTTTTCGAAGATGCGGTTTACTGGACCGATTGGCATACCAAATCGATATCAACTGCAAATAAAGCCACTGGAGCTGGACTTACCACGTTACATTCGCATTTACATTTTCCCATGGATATACACAGTTTTCATCCTCAAAGACAACCGGCATTTCCAAATCATTGCGGCAATAATAACGGTGGATGTCAGCACATGTGTCTGCCGGCAAACAAGAATTTCACATGCGCTTGTCACATGGGTTTAAAATTGGCTTCCGATGGCAAAAAGTGTAAAATACCAACGAAATTCCTAATTTTTGCCAGAAATAAGGATCTAAGAATAAAACACATCGATGAAGAAGCTGCGCATCAACACGAAATGGTAGAATTATTCGAACGATAAAATTAGATTTACTCAATATTACTTTATAGGTCATACCATTGGATGGGTTAAAATCGGCTATTGCTTTGGCATGGGACTCCAAAGAAGATTATATATTCTGGACTGATGTAGAAAAGGACACTATCAGCAGAGTTCATTGGAACGGAAGTGATCAAAGAGTTTTGGTTCACACTAACATACGTAAGCATTAAAATTCGTTATCGTAGGATACTTAATTAAAATTACTTGCATAATTTGTCTTTATTGTAGAAACACCAGCTGGCTTAGATTTCGATTGGATAACAAGGAAACTCTACTGGACGGATACCGAAAGAGAACGAATCGAGGTGGCTAATATTGATGGATCGATGAGAAGTTTGCTTATTTGGGAAGGATTGGAGAAGCCCCATGACATAGTGGTTGATCCCTTAAGTAAGAATTATTATCTTAATAGGTACAAAAGATGCATAAATGGATAACGTTATATATTGATTTGATTATAGGCGGATATATGTTTTGGTCGGAGTGGAGAGAGAAGCCCAAAATCGAACGAGCTGCAATGGATGGTACTCAAAGAAAATCTATTATAATATCCAATCTGGACTGGCCAAATGGACTTGCAGTCGATCACAGCAATGGGAAATTGTATTGGACCGATGGTGGAGAGAAAAGGATAGAGTATTCGAATTTTGACGGATCGGATCGAAAGGTTTTAATAAGTAAGTTAACTAACTTGATTTGTACTTCAGTGAAATTCGTGACATTTTCTTTATTAAGGTACCGATTTACTGCATCCATTTGGACTTGATATTTATGGTGATTTTGTTTACTGGTCAGACCTGAGCGCTTTACGTATAGAAAGTGCAAATAAATTAACGGGTTTAAATAGAACCGTTTTGGAATCAGGAATCAGTAACTTAACAGATGTCAGAATCTTCCATCGGAAAAGAACGTACATTGATAATCCTTGCAGTAAAAATAACGGAAATTGTTCCCACTTATGCTTCTTAAAACCCAAGGGGTATTCTTGTGGATGTCCAACAGGGATAAAACTACTTGTAATTACATTTTATTCATTTTTTTAGCAATGTGCTGTTAACTGTTTCAATTTTTAGGACGATAAAAGAACTTGTCCAAATGGACCGAAAAGTTCACTCATTCTCGCTCACAGAACTTACATACGACAGATATCTTTGGATGTTCCATATATTGAAGATGTAGTTTTACCATTTTCCTCGCTTAAGAACGTTGTATCAGTAGATATAGATCGCAATACTGGATTAATATACTGGGCTGACACAGCAGAGGATGGAATTTATAAAGCTACTTTGGATGGAACCAAAGTCAGACCTATAATTTACAACGAAGTACAGATGGTTGAAGGAATAGCCGTAGATTCATCCGGACGAAAGGTAATTATTCAAGATGCTAAACTATACATAAAATTATGATTGATTTAATTATATTAGATATATTGGACTGACGGAAAAAGAAACAGTATTGAAGTGTCAGAATTAAATGGATTGAATAGACGATTACTAGTGTGGAAAGGATTAGATAAGCCGAGGGCTATTACATTACATTATCGTGAAGGGCTTATGTTTTGGTCTGACTGGGGAACGACCGCCAAAATTGAAAAGGCATATATGGACGGTTCGAACAGGTATGTCATGTTAATAGTTTAATATTTTTTGTAAATTTATGTACCTAAAATGTTAGAATTGCGATCATAACTGCGGGTGTAAAATGGCCGAACGGTTTGGCAATTGATTCTCACGAAAACCGTTTGTACTGGAACGATGGAAAGAGTGGGAAAATAGAATGCAGCGATTTTAATGGAAACGGAAGAAAAACAATTCTTACCGAAGTACCACATCCGTATGGGCTAGTGGTAGTGGACAATCATATCTATTGGACCGATTGGAAAACGCAAGGATTACATCAAGCTGATAAATTTAACGGAACAAATGCCAAGAAAATTCGTGGAAATTTAGAATTACTAATGGACGTCAGGGCAGTACAGAAAGACAAAGTTGATGAAAACGCCTGCGGTAATAATAACGGTGGATGTTCGCATTTGTGTTTGCGACGTCCAGATTCATTTACTTGTGCATGCGAAACGGGGGTTCTTATGACCAAGAATGGCAAAATTTGTGAGAAACAACCCACCAAATACATTTTCTTCTCTACAAGGTCAAGTTTAGTAAGAATAAGTTTGGACACTGAAGAACTGTGGGATGTTACTCTTCCTGTGGGAGGTATATTTAATGCAATAAACGTTGACTTCCATTGGAAGAAACGGCTCTTATTTTTCACTGATGACCTCGTTATTAAAAGCGTAAATATGCACAATCTATCAGATGTAAGGGAAGTTATAAAAGATTTGGTAACGGCAAACGGCTTAGCAGTTGATTGGATTGCCAATAATTTGTATTGGATTGATGCTAGTCAAAGAGTTGTAGGAGTAACAAAAATCGGACCAGGATACCAGAAAATATTGATAAATGAGGACCTGGAGGATCCCAGATCAATTGCAGTCTTTCCATCTAAGGGACTAATGTATTTTAGTGACTGGGGAGGAAAGCCTAAGATTGAGCGATCTTTTCTGGACGGATCGGGCAGAAAAGTTCTAATAGTTGATGAGCTGAGATATCCTACAGGTTTAACTTTAGATTACGAAAAGAAGAGATTATACTGGTCAGATTACTATTTGGACAGAATAGAATCGTCGGATCTTAACGGACAGAACCGCATTCAATTGATTCATCCGAAATCTGGAGGGCAAACACTTGAAGCACCACACCCTTTCGGCTTAACACTAGTAAGAAATAAATGAACGAAAAGCGTCTAGGCATATATAATAATACGATTGTTTTAGTATGAAGATAGCGTATACTGGACAGACTGGAAACAAAAAACAGTGAAACGGGCAAATAAATCCACTGGGAAAAACATAACAACGATAAGGGACAACCTTGATGGCGCTGTTGGTATAACGGTTGTTACGGAAAGTCGTCAAACTGGATGGAATCCATGTAGCGATAACAATGGTCAGTGTTCTCATTTTTGCTTCTTTAAGGTATACAATTATACCTGCGGATGTCCAAATGATCCAAAGATAACAGATTGCTCACAAGGTATGTGTGTAGATAAAAATTTTATTATTGATAGTTCGACACTGAATATCATTGCTTCTGTTAGAGCCAGCATTTTGGGTATTCTTCAAAGTCGAACCTTTGGACGAAATGAGGATGATGTCTGGTTCTAAAAACGACGACAATTCCCAAATCGAAGAAGACGATACTAAAGAATCAGAGAAACTATTCCTGTTAACATTTTTACCTATCATGTTGATAATAATTATTACTGTACTCGTCGTGTTTGTGGTTTTATATAAAAAAAATAAGAAGAAATTGATATACTCAACAGGAAGGCGAGTGATGGCATTTTCAAACCCCAATTATTACTCATCCAATAACGAAAATCCTTCAAACAGCGCGCCAACTGATAAGAAATCATTTTTATGGAAAAGAATAAAGTATGACAAATCTCAGGTAAGACTTCTTAATTTAAACAGTTTGAAATTTTGAATAGTTACCGAATTACAATCGTCAAGTAGGTACGGTAAATAAAAATAATATTATAATTTGATGGAAGTGTTTGGTTCCGTTTTAATTTTGTGGGTTCCTTATTACAAAGGTAAGAATGAATCGTTATGGTTTGTCTTTCTAATATATATATAAACATTTACTTCAATATAAAGTTATTTACACAGGTATGCACAATACTTATCAAACTAAGCTTTCTTCATACAGGACAATTACAATACGAAAGTTAACTTAAATACTAACATGCTTCTTTTTTTATTAACATTTCAAAAAATAAAAATAAAACTGTCCCTTTTCCTATACATTACTATCATCTACTCATCACTCCTCAATATTCATTTTCTTCCTTTTTTTGCATATACTTTTCAAACTGATCATATCACAACACTAATCCTAATCCTTAGTTTACTATATATATACCGTTTATTCAATCAATACAAATTTATCTACTACATTTACCCTCCCTTCTATCAGCTAAGCTGAACCTTTTCTTTTTTAATTGTATTCTTTAGCAGGATTAGTCCATTGCCACTCCCACTTAATATCTCCTTACAATCATCTAAATCTTTACTTTCCTCACACCTTCCCAGCACATGCATCAATATTCATAAGCTTTTCAAGTTTTATCTCTTATTTTACCACCCTTTTTCTAGTTTCCTCTACCATCTTCCCACATTTTAATTCCCTCCGTACAACATAATTTGGCGTATTCTGTCCAAACGCAACAATCACTTTATATATTTCTTGTGAACGTTTTCTGTTTCTTCTACCCCCATACTTCTGCCCTATAAGGAGCTATACTTGTAACCGTCGAACCAAACAACCTTTTTCTTCTAATCCAATCGTTCGTGCATAATCTATGCCCTATTCCCGATATACTTCCTAACAGATATAGATGTATGTATTTTATCATTGTTGTTCTGTCCCATAATATATCCTAGGTATATATATATATATATATTTTAACCTTTTCTATCTCTTCCCCTTTCCACCTAATTACCTTTTTTTCTTTCCCCTTTCTATCTCTTACTTCCCCAAATTCTGTCTGTCTAATAAATGTTGCAATTTATTATCTCAGCAACTGCCAGTGCAATAAACTGTACTTTTTTTATTTATTGTCAAACCTGTAAAAAATACTACTAATATATCTTCACGTAAATAGTTTTGTAGACGTTACAGAGAAACTGCTAATTATTGTTCCTATTCACATATTTCGAAAGATTGTAATTTAAAATGATACTATGGCATTTTTAATGCAGTGGATTGAATAATTAATTTTTTATGTTTTACTTAATAAAGTTTTGACAAAAGAAATAAACTCGACGGTAACAAATTCGTGGAGCAATGTTTTAAAGGTTTTATAAAAATCCCGCATACGTTTCGGCTTGTTAGTTCTTCATCATTATTAAATAGCTGAAGTAACTATTTACTCTTGATAAAGATCTGGCAATTTTATTTCGTTAAAATGTTATTTCTAATTTGGTGCATTTAAAGGACCGCGTATATGAAGAAAAGGTTGGTACTGCAAGTCCTGAAGTAACGAGTCTTATTCCAACTGTATTGACACCAAGTAGCTCAAACTGTGAAGCAATCACTCCAGAACTTGGTCGATCACCATTTATCTCACCTATTCATCAGATCAGTTCAATTCACCCATCCGCATAGATCTAATGCGACAATTAAGTAGGAAGAAACTGGATAACAAAATGAACATGACCCATTACCTATACTACTGCCGCTAAACAAGAAATACAACCAAACAGAGTATGTAGATTACGTTCGAAACAAGGCTTTTTAGTTTTCAACAGATCACATGATCAATAAATAATTTATCAAGAAAAAACAGCGGATATTCGTACAATAAAGAACTTTTTTACCAGTTTATATATTGCAATTTATTTTTCAAATTCTGGAAATCACATTTTCAGCTTTTCCTTTCAATTACAAGAAATTAATTAAACAAAGATTTCGAGTAAAATAAACCAGCGTTTTACCAACAAAAACTACAACCACATGCATCAGTGCCAAAAAAAATCAATTAGTCACCTTATTCTTATAAAAGTATCTGCTGCAGTATTGTAAATATATGAGTATAAGAAATGTAGGTGACTGACAATAAATACACATATTAATTAATAAAAAGTCTATAATGCAATTGATTGACTCACCGAGTGAAGTTTTCTACGTGCCAAGATCGATCTTAGTGTCAGCATATTATTTTTATGGAACGCACTTTTACCTGTAAAAATATTTTTGTAAGGTACATTTGTTAATAAAAATAATTAATTATAAATTTTTAACTAAAACATTTCGCTGAATTTAGACTTTTGCTTACTTTAAGCAGTCGTATTTTTCTTCCGATGGTGGTTAGATACATATGTATATGTATGTATAAACTTATTACTAACGATTTTACAACGATTCATCCAAAATTTCTGCATCATAATCAATAAAATTAAATATTCTACAATTACACCGTAACAATTTCTGTACCATTCGAGGGTACCAGCAGCATAGTTGTAATATTTCGTCCATACTTATTACTATTGTGCCTACGTTTTGAAAACGTTCTGTTTTGAATCCAAAGGAACATTTTAATTTTTGTAGTTTTGGATAGATCGTTGTAAAATTTTATATTCTTCTGTACTTATTTGTTGCGATCGTATTTTGTTTAATTAGTCAAAATGGAACCGGGAAAATTACGAAAAAAAAAAAATAAAGTAAAATTCTGTGCAGTAACTCTAGTGTAATTCTAAGTAGATGTAACATATCTTGTTATCTATCATTACGGTTCTAGCAGAATCCAGAAAAGAAAATGTCTGTATATTCCACGTGTTAATATTTTCATATCAGACCTACGTAAATTGCTTTACTTCTTAAATTCGACAGCTACTATTACTACTATTATAAAAAAAAAGGTATTTTGTAAAAGGCGCAACAGTTAAAAGTATTGTTTGTACCTTTTAAAACGATAGAACGTGTTTCAGTCAAAAAATATTTTTTTATTCAAAGGAAGGTATTAAGACTGACAGTTAGAGTTTGTTAAGTAAAAAAAAAAACAAATATTTCATCACTGTTGCATAATTTAAAGAAAAAACGTTGTAAATTATGTGACTATGACGTTTTAAAGTGTGAATGTAAACTTGTTACGATAACTCAAATTTATTAAAGTTCATTGAATATAACCACAAGGCTCCTTGGATATATTTAATGAACAACTGTGATAACAAAAAAAAAATGAATGAATATACATGATATTTGTAATTTTTCTCTTATTATTGTTAAAAGTCGGTCAGTATTTATGTATCAAATGTCTTATAAGTAGCCATTAAATTCGTCGTCATTATTAGCATTATTATATAAATATATTATATATTATACTACGATATCAGAATACTGATTTGAGACGAAACTATTAAAAATGAATTGAAAACTACATTTTGTTATCTATTTTAATAATGTCTAAAACAGAAGTAATTTGAGGGAATTTTGCTCATGACGATTTTTCAATAATATTAATCCATTTTATTTGAACATAACTTTTCTCATGTATGTATAACGCACCTGTTTATACCAACAGTATATATGTGTATACTGAACTAATTCTTATTTTCTACTGTAATTTATAAACAAATTGTAATTATAATAATTCCTCTGAAACGTATTCGTGAAAGGTCTAAATTAGATTTATTTAAATGCCTTTCACAAAAATTTTATTTTCACAACAGAGGCGTACTCGTCTTATGTTTGGAGAAAAGGGTCGTAACACTTGGAGAAATGAGCAACACACTACATGAATTTTGGTGTATTTTATTATTAGTTTACAGATTAGAAAAGAATTACATTAAAAAGATGTTAAATTTAGAAATTAAAGGAATACGTATATGTATGGTCGATGCTCATTTCTTTTTCAAGACCAATTAAGAGACCCTTTAATATTTAGCTCAAGAATATAAAACAGCTCAAGCACTAATTTAGATATTTTTTAAGTTCCGGTTTATAATTGAACAATAATAATATCACACTTTAAAGACAAATAAGTTTTTAAATTTTTACAAAAGTAATACATTATATTACAATAAAGTTACATACGTTTTCAATGTATGAGAACTAGTACCATGTTTGTATAATGAATTCATGTCTCTTGCTGAGCCTCCAGCAAGAAACATGATAATAAAATGAATTTAAATGTTGTAATTTATTTTTTAATCCCTTCATAATAAATGTAACATGCTCAATGAGTTTAAACCTCTTAAGAAAATTATGCTTAAAGTCTTTGTTTCGTGAACTTTGGCATTTATTCTTTTGCATTTCGATTGAACGTGCTAGTAATCAGGGATTTTGAGTACGTATTTTTTGGCGGATCCAATATTATAATTGATCCTTTCGTATTTTTTCTCGTAGAATACAAAGGCGGGGATCCGGACAGTCAAAAGTGTATACATAATATGAAAAACTTAACGTCTTTTTTTAACGTTTGTTTTATAACTCGGCTCCTTCCTACTTTTTATATAGCACACACATTTAGAAAGTTGTTCCTCGGTCATAGGACATTCTTTTTTTTAATATACGCGTTTTGGAGGATATTTAGGTACTTGATACTATAGGGAGAATGTCAGAAATTTTCAAACAACAACGGTATAACATTTTATACGTCGTTTTAAAAAAGATGGTTGCATAGAAAACGTTATAAAATCGGTTCTAATAAATATTTTTAAAAATCGAAAAAAGCCTCTTAAACTTGAAGAAATTTGTGATTTTTGTAGCCCAACTCAGTCAAGGTTAATTAAGACTTGCAAAAAGTTCGATCGTAAAATTGTTCGACACAAAAAAATAAGCTCTGAATGAAAGCTAAAATGACTACTGGACTATTAATATATAGGGTTGTTCGGAAAGTCATTTCGTTTTTTCCCGACAGAGGATTTAATTGTATTCTTTTGCACCCAACTTCACATTTAAGCCATATAATTTTTATATGCTTGGAGAGCTCATATAGCAAGGCTTGTGTGTGAAAAATTCCAATTAATTCTACGCAGTAGTTTTTGGTTGGTGCCCTTTTAAATATGGAGAGCGATAAGCAGCATTTTCGACATATCT